GACAAAGTCAGTTGTCCTTTTAGAACGTCTTAATTTACACAGTTCCTTTTATTAGTTTTATTCTTTTAAGTTTATGTACACTAATTGTACATAGGTCTATAGCTTTAGAATAGTTTATTAGAGGATGGCCATTTTAGGCTTAAGAACCAATTGCTCGTGTCGAAATCGTGGTATTATGTTCCGATCATTAGAAGTTGGAACCGGAGTTTGGCAGGTTAGGGCCATTTGGATAAAAGTTTAGTAAGTTCAGACCAACTAATCCATTCTGCAAGCGAAGAAATCCGGTTTGATCTGTGGAGGTCCAGAGTGGATTGTTTGAGACCATGAGGACCAAAACAATTACGACCAAGCGAACCAGATTATGACCATTTCAGACCAAGGAAACATGCAGTTTTTTGCTTAAGACCACGGGGACGAAAATTATCTATTCAGAGCGCAGGGACCCAAATTTGAAACATTCAGGCAAATTTTACTTGTTCAGACGTTGATTATCTTATGAACTGTTCTCAACCGATGTTTCAACTTTTTCGACCGAAGTTTGTTAATTTTTGTATGTGCTCGACCTATGTTTTGACTGTGCTTGGCCTATGTTTTGACTGTGCTTGACCTATGTTTTGATTTTATCGACCAATATCAGGTATGTTTCGACTTTCGTTGATGCTTGACTTAAAATTTTGTGCTCGATGTTGCACTCGCTTCTCGGCAGGGGATTTATGTCAAGAAAACTGCACCTTCTTGACTTTCAAAATCAAAACATAAGTCAAGTATCTCGACCGTGGTTGTTTGGAACTATATTCAGACTTTCTTTGAGACTTTATTCAGACTTCTTTTTAGCAATTTGACAGGTGGTGAAACTATGAATTTTTAACCCCAATCTGGTTTGATGGAGACTATAAAAGCTTTTAACCAAAATCTTTTCCAACTATGCTTCAGTGGAGTCGGTCGCGGTTAATTTTTCGTCGATCGCCACGTGTTCAAGTCACAGAGGTTATCAGTACTATTCAATTAAAACAACAGTTGTAAAACAAAATTCAGTCCTGTATCAGATTAAAACCAATGTTTTATTCTGATTTTCACCTGACCAGGACATTGAACAGGAAAAAATTTTCCAGCGCTGTTCTAGAACTGTAACACTACTGTTACAGTACTGTTTTATTCTGTTTTTATTCTGAAGTTCGAACTGGGAATTCATGTTTTATTCTGGGAATTTTTTTTGAAGTTTTGTTTTTAGTTCAGAGCTTTGTTAAGTGTCGTTACAAAAGGAAACAATTCATTAAAAAAGCCTAAATTCTAACAATTTTTTTTAGAAACAACCTAAAAAAGCAGTTTTTTTCCGCAAAAGTAGAAATTGGTTCCAGGGCTTGAGCAGCTAAATTTGCCTGAAAACATGGCAATTTTTTGTAAAAATATGGAAAAAAGAGCATTTTTTTAAAATTGATGCATCCAACCACAGCTAAAAATCAGCTGTAAACAACCAAAAACGGGTTGTTTTGCAAGAAAAAAGAAAAAAAGAAAAAAGAAATTCAGAGCGCAGGGACCCAAATTTGAAACATTCAGGCAAATTTTACTTGTTCAGACGTTGATTATCTTATGAACTGTTCTCAACCGATGTTTCAACTTTTTCGACCGAAGTTTGTTAATTTTTGTATGTGCTCGACCTATGTTTTGACTGTGCTTGGCCTATGTTTTGACTGTGCTTGACCTATGTTTTGATTTTATCGACCAATATCAGGTATGTTTCGACTTTCGTTGATGCTTGACTTAAAATTTTGTGCTCTATGTTGCACTCGCTTCTCGGCAGGGGATTTATGTCAAGAAAACTGCACCTTCTTGACTTTCAAAATCAAAACATAAGTCAAGTATCTCGACCGTGGTTGTTTGGAACTATATTCAGACTTTCTTTGAGACTTTATTCAGACTTCTTTTTAGCAATTTGACAGGTGGTGGAACTATGAATTTTTAGCCCCAATCTGGTTTGATGGAGACTATAAAAGCTTTTAACCGAAATCTTTTCCAACTATGCTTCAGTGGAGTCGGTCGCGGTTAATTTTTCGTCGATCGCCACGTGTTCAAGTCACAGAGGTTATCAGTACTATTCAATTAAAACAACAGTTGTAAAACAAAATTCAGTCCTGTATCAGATTAAAACCAATGTTTTATTCTGATTTTCACCTGACCAGGACATTGAACAGGAAAAAATTTTCCAGCGCTGTTCTAGAACTGTAACACTACTGTTACAGTACTGTTTTATTCTGTTTTTATTCTGAAGTTCGAACTGGGAATTCATGTTTTATTCTGGGAATTTTTTTTGAAGTTTTGTTTTTAGTTCAGAGCTTTGTTAAGTGTCGTTACAAAAGGAAACAATTCATTAAAAAAGCCTAAATTCTAACGATTTTTTTTAGAAACAACCTAAAAAAGCAGTTTTTTTCCGCAAAAGTAGAAATTGGTTCCAGGGCTTGAGCAGCTAAATTTGCCTGAAAACATGGCAATTTTTTGTAAAAATATGGAAAAAAGAGCATTTTTTTAAAATTGATGCATCCAACCACAGCTAAAAATCAGCTGTAAACAACCAAAAACGGGTTGTTTTGCAAGAAAAAAGAAAAAAAGAAAAAAGAAATTCAGAGCGCAGGGACCCAAATTTGAAACATTCAGGCAAATTTTACTTGTTCAGACGTTGATTATCTTATGAACTGTTCTCAACCGATGTTTCAACTTTTTCGACCGAAGTTTGTTAATTTTTGTATGTGCTCGACCTATGTTTTGACTGTGCTTGGCCTATGTTTTGACTGTGCTTGACCTATGTTTTGATTTTATCGACCAATATCAGGTATGTTTCGACTTTCGTTGATGCTTGACTTAAAATTTTGTGCTCGATGTTGCACTCGCTTCTCGGCAGGGGATTTATGTCAAGAAAACTGCACCTTCTTGACTTTCAAAATCAAAACATAAGTCAAGTATCTCGACCGTGGTTGTTTGGAACTATATTCAGACCTTCTTTGAGACTTTATTCAGACTTCTTTTTAGCAATTTGACAGGTGGTGAAACTATGAATTTTTAGCCCCAATCTGGTTTGATGGAGACTATAAAAGCTTTTAACCAAAATCTTTTCCAACTATGCTTCAGTGGAGTCGGTCGCGGTTAATTTTTCGTCGATCGCCACGTGTTCAAGTCACAGAGGTTTTCAGTACTATTCAAGTAAAACAACAGTTGTAAAACAAAATTCAGTCCTGTATCAGATTAAAACCAATGTTTTATTCTGATTTTCACCTGACCAGGACATTGAACAGGAAAAAATTTTCCAGCGCTGTTCTAGAACTGTAACACTACTGTTACAGTACTGTTTTATTCTGTTTTTATTCTGAAGTTTGAACTGGGAATTCATGTTTTATTCTGGGAATTTTTTTTGAAGTTTTGTTTTTAGTTCAGAGCTTTGTTAAGTGTCGTAACAAAAGGAAACAATTCATTAAAAAAGCCTAAATTCTAACGATTTTTTTAGAAACAACCTAAAAAAGCAGTTTTTTTCCGCGAAAGTAGAAATTGGTTCCAGGGCTTGACCAGCTAAATTTGCCTGAAAACATGGCAATTTTTTGTAAAAATATGGAAAAAAGAGCATTTTTTTAAAATTGATGCATCCAACCACAGCTAAAAATCAGCTGTAAACAACCAAAAACGGATTGTTTTGCAAGAAAAAAGAAATATGTTTGCGATGGTACTTGAAAGACTTCAGCAACTAAATTTTTCTGGAAACACAAGTTTTTTCACAGCTAAAAATCTGAAAACAAACTAAGACTGATAATCATCAGAAATTTTTGAAATTTTTCTATCAGAGATTTTTATTTTGATGATTATTAGTTACTGCTATTTCATTGATTGTTTAAAATTTTTTTGTGCAATTTCATTTTATAGTTTCAATTGATTTTGTTATAATCATAATTAGTCTAATTTAAATTGTTTTACAATTGAGTTTTGAAACCGAGAGTTCCTAGAACTCTCTTTTTATCAGAAAATCTTAGAAAATTCTGCAATAAGAAGGCCGAAATTTTTTTTGAAATTAGCCCATAATTTAATTGAAATCTTGCTTGTGCCTAGGCGCGGATTTTTGTATTTTTTGAGATTTTTTCCGAGTTTTCATACAAAAATTTGCTGTTGTTTTTTTCTGAATCGATTTCTGATCATAAAAATAGCAGAACAACATCTTTGATTTTTTCTGATCACAGAAACTAAAGAACAACGTTTCCAATTTTGTTTTGATCAGAGAAGTATCAGAACAAAAATTCTGATTTTATTCTAATCAGAGCATTATCATGATCAGAAAATAAGCAGAATAAAAACAGTACTCTAGCAGTACTGATTCAAAATTGTTACAGCACTGCGGTTTTTTCTCTGATTTATCTCTGATCGGAGATAAATTGCCACTTGCCAGAATCTGATACAGAACTGTTTTTTTTTCTATTACGTTTCGGGAGAAGTACTGATTTTCTCTGTGACTTCAATCCGGGGCACCATTCGCGGTTAAATTTTCTTTGCTTGGGCCGTTCATCGGAGTTATTTTTCCTGGAGTGAGCTGGCTTGGCCGCCAACGCATTTTCAAACATTCCGATTTCCAAAGACGGAAATTCTTAACATCAGTCGCTCTTGTGTAAATACAAAAAATTGGTGGTAGCCATAATCTGGTCATAAAACCGCAACCTCGGCCCCGGTGAACGAATGAGAAGAAAGTTTGAAATTCAGGAAAAATATATGCTTTGTAATTTGATAAGGACAATTTAGACTAGATGAGGTGAATACAGAACACGCATTAAACTTTTTGAAACAAATGATAATTCATAAAAGAACAGGGTTGGTGGTTAATACCGTCAGACAATTGAAAAAGGGCTCATTAAACGTTATTTACATTTTGCTGGATGATAGAACATTTAAAACTCAAATAATCTGACCAAACATAAATTTTTTAGTTTAATGTTAAACGATATCGTATATGATTTTTTTGGATTGTAGACTAATTTGATGAGTTTAAGTCAGATTATTTTGAGCTGTTTTCAGAATAGGCTGAAAATCAGAAATATTGTCCAATTTGTCGCATTTTAGCTGACGCTGGTCCGTTTGGCTTGTCGGCTGCCTGTCTGAAGTATGGATTACCTTTAGGAGTTGCGGTTGTTGCTCTCGTTTTCGAAGAACATGAAGTCCTAGAAAAGAGAAGATAATCAGTTTTTAAATCAAAACAGGATTCTTTTAACTTGGAAATTCTTTAAATTGAAATGTTGAAGATTGTTTAAAATTATTCGAAGGTAGTTTAGGATTGGCCCTTTTGACATGATTTGAATTTAACCACAATTATAACGCACAATCAGTAGCTTCAGTTATTTCTCTTTTCTGGCATAAAATTAGTCTCCGTCTGCGCCTAAATTTAGGCCTATAAGTACTCAAATTTTGTGTTCACGATTATCCAACCATGTTGTAAGAACGGCGAAAAAAATAATGTGAAGGGACTGAAGCAGAGCAAAAATAGTCTCGGGAACAAATTCAGCAAAAAAAAAGATATCAGCCTTTTTAAAATAGTAGTGATTCTGATTGAACGATATTTTTTCGTGCAATTACAAAAAAATTGAGCTTGCCAGAATAAAGTCGAAAAGCCACCACTCCCAGTCCAAGTTTTACTCTTTTTTAAATTTAGCCTTTTTTTATAGGTATAAAGACTCTCGTTTGATTTTTCAAAAATATGAAGATTATTCGATGAAAAAACAGTTTGCTGAAAAATCTCCTGTTTATGGCATACCCTAGTCGATCAAGGGAGGTTATCTTGCAAGATCTTGCAAGATTCTTGCAAGAGAGGGTTATCTTGCAAGATCTTGCAAGATGGAGGTTATCTTGCAAGATCTTGCAAGATGGAGGTTATCTAGCAAGAATCTTGAAAGAATCTTGCAAGATAACCATCCCAAAATTTCTGTCGAAAAACACAAAAAAAAATAACAGAAATTAGGTGTAAGATCAAAAAAATTGTTTCTAGAACGAGAATCCAAAACTTTAAATAAATGCTTAACGAATAAAATTAGGCAAAAATCATGCGTTAAAAAGTAGTCGCATTATTGTTGTTAATTTATTCAATGAGATTAAAAGTATTAACCAATCAAATCTTTATTAAATCAATTAAAAAAAGAAGCTTTCTGGGGGCAACCGCCTAGCGGGTTGTGTGTATGTATGCGTAGCTAAGATTGCTTCCTTCTTCCACGAACGCTACTTGGTTGTCTTCGCGTGTAAAGCTGTTTTTGCCCAAAAAAATTGTATCTTTAAAGATCTTGCAAAAAAAAGGTTATCTTTAAAGGAGGTTATCTTGCAAGATCTTGCAAGAATCTTGCAAGATCTTTTAAAGAGATGCATCCTCTTTAAAAGAATCTTGCAAGATTCTTGCAAGATCTTGCAAGATAACCTCCCTTGATCGACTAGGGTAACCATTAATCGACCCGACCTGGCGCTCCATTTGCGGGCGATCATTTTTATGTGACATATAAATAAAATCAGAGCTACCATTGAATCAAGCACAAAGCACTTATTAGTTCAAGTTCATCGAATCTTTCCATTAGACTATTTTTCCCTCTTTTTCACGAAATCCCTATTTTTCCATTTTTTAAATATATTTTTGTTATTAGATCTAGATGATTTTAAAACTTTATGTAATTTTATTGCGACATGAAGACGTGTATATGCAGGCATGTGTACTTACAATCAAGAACACTGCCCCAATCATGATGGCCTTCATCTTGACGTCGAGGTCGAGGGGGAACTGGACTCCGAAGTTGTCTGCGTCTGTGAAGTACTCCTTGATCAAACCCGAGAACTGCTTCGCAATCTTACCAATCACTTCCCCGTCCGAAGTCTTCACCTGTGGTGCAGAATTATGCTTTTAAGGGCAAAATAACTTCAAGGTCTAATTTCGTAAGTAATCAAGAAGTTTAAAAAGTTTTGGCTCGGACGACCCTCCAAGAAAAAGTTTGCATAAAAGTTTTTTTTTTGGCTGGCTCATTTTTTTGTTTTTTGACTTTTTAGCTCATTGAACATGAGCGACACTTCGTCTGACTTTCAACACGGGGGCTATTTTCATGCGCGAAGGACTTAATGCGCGAAAGTACTCGTGAGCGAATGACCGAAAATAAAATTAGCCGAAAGTCAATTTTTAAAAAGAAGCAATTGCCAATCAATTTAAATGAATTAAATGAAGCAATATTTTGCTTCTTTCTTTACGACACCCTTTAAATATAAAATTTGTCCCAATTTTGCGTCGGTCAATGACAATTTGAAAATTTTGCATATTTCTGCAGTTTTTATATTCGGCCAATATCAATAATTTAGTCCCTGGAAATAATTACTTTCGTTGCAAATTTTAGATTACTGAAATCTGATTGGCTGATTTGTTTTTTCGCGCATTCGGTCCTTCACGCATGAGGGATTCCATCTTTCAACACCGCTCTTAAAAACCTAGTTTTACTCGATTTGGAACAGAATCAAGTTGATCAAAATTGTATTTGGCGTTCCTCATGCTTGAAAGACCGAGTGCTTGAAATTAATTTTAGCTTACCTTCAGCCAATCAGAATCGAGTATTCAAAATCTCAAAGTAAACTCTAAGTAAAATTTCACAGTAAGAAAACAAATCCAGGCCATTAGTGTTAATATTGACCGATTAGATAATAAGCAGATGAGTTTTCAAGACTGAAAAATTCTTATGATTTTGACCGCATCAATCTTGATGATTATCTGAAGAGTACTGCGGTTGTAACCCGCAATTTGTAATATTTTTGATTATTTTCCTCTTATTTGATACATTTTTTGTTAATATTGACTTCGATTTTGTGAGAAAGGCAATTAGCCAATGAAAACGCTTAGCGATTTTGATTGGTTGAAATTTTTCAAGCATTCGGTCCTTCAAGCATGAGAACCCTCCCCAAAATTGAACAATGAAACACGAATACTAAAAAGTGCCAAATAATATCGATAACATCAGAAACATTAGCCAACTGGCAGTTGAAAAAAGAATAGTTAAAAAATAAAATTTTTAAAAAACTTCCAATTTTCAATTTTTAAAGAAAAAACATATGCCATCAAAGTTTTTTGATTTTCAAGAACAATTTATGACTGGTATTTTTTTCATAAAGTTCACCCATTTTGAAAAAAACTGGGTCAATAGCTAATTTTTATTCCCGTTGGAAAATCTGAACATTAAAATCCTTTATCCTTTTTTGAAACTAAAAATCGAGCGTACACCGTTTTTAAGACTTTTTCCTGAAAAAAAAATAACACAAAAGATCACTAAGACCTACGTAAGAGTCTTCACTGCGTTCATGACGAATATCTGTGTATCTTCCAAAGCAAAAAAAACAGCACATTGAGTTATGATTCCCAATTGATTGGGTAATAGTGACTTCACCTGGAACTCTTGTTCGCAACACCACGCGCCCTGGCACACACAACAGGGGCCGTCCACAGACAACACTTTCTGCCCATCTGCATCCCGGATGGAGAACTTGGGTGCCCAGGGACTACACCTGCAACACAGAGCAAAAAAGTCAGAATCGGTGTTTTCCTCATGACGTAACGACGGAGACTTTAACCAGCCAATCAGAATCCAGTATTGGAAAATCTAAAATAAAAAGGTGGCAATGCAGTCAGAGGTTTGAAAAACGAAAATATTTTATTGGCTAGAAACTCATGGACGCGCAAGTTTTGTTAGCAGCGTTGGTCAATACCCATAACTCTGAACATTTATAGTAATCAAAACAAAAACAAATTAGTGCACCTGGTTGGCTGGTTGAATAACTGATTGAATACCTGGTTGTATACCTGATTGTATACCTGGTTGCTTACTTGATTGCCTCAATTAAGGGTGCAAATTTTTGCCAAAATGTCCTCCTTTTGTACTAGCTTACGACATCCACGAGTGGCTGACCCACCCACCCTTTGGCAGCAATCAACACTGATTTTTTTGACAGGAATTAATTCATTGTTGATGGCAAGCATTGAGGTCGTAATTAGGTAAAGATTTTATCGAGGAGTTTAAAAATTACCGAGACAAAAATCTTGTTTAAAATTAGCTCTCTTTTTGCCCCACCTGCGAATTTTTACTAGTAGACGGTGTTTTCACTTTGTCCGATCATATTGTTGTGATCTGATTTTATGTTCACGAAATTTAACGGTCAAAACAGGTCTTGTCTGACCTTTTATCGTGTACTTTAGTGTTGTCATTAGATTGCTTCTTATCATGGCGCAGTCGGTAATATGCAAACCTTAGCGGGTAAACTTCAACGCGGGTACAGGGGTTGACAAAAAAGCCTATCAAAAAACTTCATACTATGAAAAAAGTGCTTATCATACTATTTCATACTATTTCAAAGACTAAAAAAATATTCAGAAATTAGCATGATAAACATTTTTTCAAACAACGGCATTTTATAAAAAGCTTTAAAATTGTATTATATGCCTTTTCCGTAGAAAAAGTACAAGTTTGAGATGATAAACTTTTTGTCCCCTTTTTGGTTGCAGATTTTGTTTGTCCTCGAATATACAACGAACAAAAAAAATGCAAAATTCGACTTTTTGTGTCTCTAACATACACCAGGTTCAGTTTTTTCAGAAAAAAATCAAAAATCAAAGCAAGTGATTTTTTAGATACACCTTGTTTTTGTGTTCATATGCTAAGATAAAAAATAATTTTTCGAAATTAGGCTAATTTCTCAACACCGAAATTTGCACAGTGAAATTGTTTTAGCCATATACAAAAAAATAAGTTTCTGGTATACAGCTCTGTGTGAAATTTTCAACATTAACTGCATGGCTAAAAGCACCAGACGCAGTTTATTTGCGTAATAACTGCCAGTTACACTATCTATTTTCTTATGACAGATAATGCTCATTTAGTTTGTTTCGGATGAAACACAGAATTAAAACACTAAAAAATTTTGTATTTTCATTTAAAGGAAAAAAATTATTTGTCATACGCTTTCATATTATGGAAAAAGTGCTTAACATACAATTTCATAGTATGGAAAAATGTTTATCATACAATTTCATTTTACAAAAATTTTTTGCTACTTTCATAAAACGTTTATAAGAAGAAGTATGGTAAAAAGTTTCTAAAACAATTCCAAAATTTTAAATTAGCTAACAAGCTTTTTGCCATGTATTTGTTAACAAAGATTTTATGAAAACAGCAAAAACTTTTTTGTAAAATGAAATTGTATGATAAGCATTTCTTTCATACTATAAAATTGTATGCTAAGCAGTATTTCCATTATGATAATATAATTTTTTAGTGTTTTAATTCTGTGTTTCATCCGAAAAAAACTAAGCAAGCGTTTTCTGTCATAAGAAAACCAATAGTGTAACTGGCAGCTACCACGCAGATAAACTGCATTTGAGGCTATTTGCCATGCAGTTAATGTTGAAATTTTCACACAGAGCTATATACCATAAACGAAATTTTTTGTATATGGCTAGAACAATTTCACTTTGTAAATATCGGTGGTTGAGAAATTAACCTTTTTTCAGGAATTTATTTTTATCTTAGCATATGAACACAAATACAAGGTGTATCTAAAAAATCACTTGCTTGTGATTTTAGGACTATTTTCTGAAAAAACTGAACTCGGTCTATGTTAGAGACATAAAAAAAAAACAAATTTTTTCTAAAATGTGCATTCGGGGACAGAAAAAGCTTTCAACCAAAAAAAAGATAGATGTATTTTACCTCAAACTTATATTTTTACAAAAGAAAAGGCATATCAAGAAATTTTATTGGTTTTGTTTGAGTTGTAAACCAAGTTAAGATAATTTCGAAAAAACTTACTATTGAAAAAATGCTTTTCATACAACTTTCTTTCATGAGTGATGTTTGATAAGCCTTTTTTGCATAGACTCTTTAAATGAAATGATAAGATAGGTGTTTTATTTGTATAAACGTCAATCCGTGTATACAATTGTTTTTAGTAAAGAAACATGTTAGAGCATAGAAGCATTCTTTACTTGTAAGTTGTGATCATATAAAAGATCTAAGAGATTAAAAGACGTCTCTAGTTTCTATTTCAGAGATATCAGTATATGACGCTCAGTGTAGACCAGGTAATTCATTAAATAAAAAAAAGATATAAGCTATTCCTACGGAAGAAGACGAAACGTTAAATCTTTTGATTAAGGCATTCCAAAGGAAAATGGAATAAAAAAATTGCAATCATAGTGCGTAATTCCATCAATACATTTACAGACATAAATTCACCTTGCCAATTGGACATGATAATTTTAGCTGGCTTCATTTGTTGGCCCTACATTTTCCGCCAAATCTTGTGGTAAATTGAACATAATTCACAAAAACGGGCAAATACTCGAACTGTTTTCACTCAGAATTTTCCTACCTAAACAAAGAAAGTGATCTTGTTTTGGGCAAGACTATTGGAAGTATTTTGGGGGACTAAACGTTTCATTATTTTTTGTATAGGCCATTTTTCAAAATATCTGTCAGGAAAAAAAACGACGAATACTTCCACAATGATTGTTTTAAAGAACTCATAAAGATAATGTAACCTTGAATAAAATCATTGACTATTTTAAAACAATAATTTAATTCAAGTTAACATTTATCTTTATGGGTTTTCTGAAACAATCAGGATCGACAATCAGGAGCTTCTCGTTTACTAGCCAAGAACCCAATTTTTTTGCGGCTCAAGTAATGTCAAAATAATGTTTTGTAGATAGGTGATCATAGATCCAATGGATCAGGGGAAAAACTGGTAAAAAAATCTTTGGTCGAGACGGTCGAAATATAAAGTGAGCACCTCGACCCGGGTTGCACCGAAAGGTGATGTTCTGTCTGGTTGAGCGAGGCGATAGAATATCCGTCAATATTTTTATTCTACTCACTCCTGTCGGACGTATCCAATGAGCTGTCCAGGGGGAGACTCTACGCTGACCTCGTAGGCACAACATGCGCAGCCCGCCAGCCAGGAGAAACCAGCACAGCACTTGAAGTCACGCTGCACTTTGATCACCTCCTAAAATTGTCACACACGTTTACTTTTTTGGCATGCAGCGACATATCGTCAAGCATGACAATTAGCACTAATTCGAAAGATATTCAAGCATCAATAAGAGCTTTTTAGTTTTATGGATGTTAACATCAGTTCTCAAATAGCTGTGTTTCATTACTTGTGCTTCAATCGCTGTGTGAGGGGGGGGGGCGGTTTTTCGAAAAAAAACAACTGAAGATTTTGTCGATTTTTTTTAGGCCGACCAATTTGATTTTCCGAGCTCACCGAGAAAACTCTGAAGAACCTATTTTGTCAAAAAAATATATATGCGCCGCAGGCAAATTTTTTGAAAAAAAAAAACAGGTTAAAAATGACATTAAAACGGGTTACAAAAATATGACCGAAAAATTGCGTTTTTTTCCGCGCGCGCTCCCCCTCAAACTCAATTATATTGGAGCCAAAGGCGCTTTTACTTATATTGCCACCAAAGGCCCCTTAAGAAAGTTTTTGATGTTGGCTGGCATCTGCTCCCAAGCCCTTCCCGCAGTTTCAAGAAATGCAATTTTAGTTAATATCCTGGAGTACAAATAATGGATAAGCCCGTTTCTTCTCGTTTCAGCCCTTAAACTAGTAACTTAAAACTTACAGCGCCTTCTCTGATTTAACAATTATTTGGAGCAAATAAGTGGGCAACAAACTGTAGCTGGGATCTATAATGGCAAAGAATTAGTATTTTCAATTCAGCTTTCATTTTTATTCAGTGAAACCTTTTCAGTCTTTGATTTGGTAGCTCAACAAGACTGCTCGTGTATAAGGGCAAAATTCTGGAAGTTTCGACTGCCTCTTAACTGGTCTCGTTTCAAGTAGTTTTGGTATTTTTTCAAATAAAAATTTATAAGTTTTGGACCGCCAATAAGAAAGATTAATTCTAAATTTTGAAATGTATACGGAATTATAATGGCTAATTTAGTTTGCCTAAATTCGATTTAAAACTCTTACGAGTGCGCAACAAATCGCCCGCAAAAGAAATTTGCGTATTGAAACCAAAAGTTTGCGAGTTTGAAAAAAAAATTGAAGGCTTTGGAATGAAAATTTAGCATGAAGTTCCATTTTTCTAATTTTCATTTTTCTGAATTGAAATACTATAACTATAATTTATGAGAAATAATTTTTTCTAATTTCAAACACCATGTTGACACAGCGTCAATTTCAAAAAACTAATACCCTGCCCTGCAACACCTAATTAATGGTTTTCATACATCAACAAAATTGATAATGATTTTTTTTTGGAAGTTTTGAGCAATTTTGTTAGAGAAAGTAAGCTGCATTTGTTATTATCTTTTGAACAAAATTGATCTTTGCTATCTTAGCTAAATCTCGGTGAAATTTTAGGGGTATAAATAACTTGATTAAATATAGCCAACAGACAGGTGGTGATTGCAAAGAAGTTGAAAAAAGTATGAACTGTTTGAATGAAAAAATTCAAAAACTTGAACTGTAAGGAAAAAAACATTTGGCCGCAAAACTCTTTGAATTTCAAGAAATATTTAAAATCAAATTATAATTAGGAACCATATTCATTTTAGTAATTCGGGAGCGCAATTTGCCTTCTTCTTTAAATTATTCAAGTCATACCACAAGTTATCAAGTTTTTTGTGAACAAAATTTGAAGACTTTTTCATAAAAAAATCAATTCGATCTACGCAGGGGCGGATTTAAGGGGGGGGGGGGGCCGACGCCCCCCCCCCCTTCAGGAATTTGACCGTAACAATTACCAAAGGGTCCCCCCTTTGAACAATTTACTTAATTTTTTTCAAAGGGCGCCTTTGGCGCCGGTGTCTTTGGCCTTTATATCAAAGAAAAATTTTTGAGGTGTGAAAATTCAAGGTGCGAAAGTGCATCTTTTTTGAGGCCTCAAATTGGACTCATTTTTTGACTCGAGGCAGGTACCTGCTAACAGGTACCTGTCAACCTGCCTCATTCGCAGTATTTATACCCCGTTCAAAACTACCTAGCTCATTCTAAAATCTTCTTCGCTGGACTTCACACTGCACTCTGGATTGGACCCTGGACTTCAACTTCAACCTTCCAGATGTCAAAGCGGACTGCTCCCAAGGACTCCAAGGCTTCTGGCTTCAAGACGCTCAAGGCTTTCTTCACCAGTAGACCCAAGAAGTCACCACCTTCATCCACTGCAACCACTCCTGAGCCTGACAACCCTGGATCATCCACTACTGAGACGCCTGGACCTCCTGTAGCATCATCGGCTTATGATCACTTCAGACAGACCGTTTACTTGCCCTTTCTTGACTTTGTCCTGATGGATCTCAAGAAACGCTTCGTTGGAGCAGCTTCTTCTTGTGCCCAAGTGTGCAAGCTGCTACCCCGTTGGATAAGTGAGAAGGATGCAAAGGAGGAAGAATTTGATGATCTGGTCCAGTTATACGAAGGAATACTTCCAGATGGTGACTTCCCCAGCGAGTTCGAAGTTTGGAAAAACATGTGGCGCTTCCCCCTGTACACCGATACCCCAGAAACCTTTACAGCTGCACTCAGAGTGTGTCACAAAGCCACAATGTCAGTAATTTTTACTTTGCTCCAGATTGGTGCTACCCTCCCAGTGACGGTATGCACTGCTGAGCGCTCTTTTTCGAGCATGAAACTACTAAAAAGTTACCTCCGCTCCAACATGAAGGAGGACCGACTCTCAAATTTGGCGCTAATTTACATTCACAAAGATGTAGAAATCAATGTCGAAGAGGTCATCGACAGATTTGCCGCAAAAAATCGAAGACTCAATTTTGTTTAATTTTGTTCATTTTCTTATTGTAAATAAATCATTGTTTTCGTTAAAACTTTTCTAAATCCGCCCCCCCTCAAGAAAATCCTAGATCCGCGCCTGGATCTACGTAAGTTTCTTCATTACGTACATTCACGATTCACAGTT